ACCTCCTCCCATGTTCCCCTCCAAGACTTCTACAGAGCCTCTCCCATCCTCTGGAACTCCATGCCCCAGTAGGTACAGTCAGCTCCTACTCTGTCTGCCTTTAGGCAATCCTTGAAAACTAATTTTATTTAGGGAAGCTTACCCCCACCTCCACCTAAAAACTGTACTTACTCTAAGTCATCTCCATCAGATCATCCTCTGCAGCTATTACCTTTTGTACCACCTATTAATCCCTGTAAGCTCCATGATCAGGGCCTTCCTATTCCTTCTGTATTGAACTGTGCTGTAATTGCACTGTCCCCCTTTATATTGTAAAGCTTGTGGAAACTGGCACTATATAAATCCTGTATATTATCAATAATAATATGCGCTCTGAGAGCTTGAAGGGATATAGGATGAAAATGGTGCACAGAGCAGAACTTTATGTTAATGCATATCTCTATTACAGACCAAAAGGCCAGGCTAAAATGAGGGAGAGCTACTGAAGTAGCCATCATATTCAATGGCCAGTGCGAAGTGTACCCGAGGACAGAGCATGTGATGGTAGACAGAAGTAGGTCTCGAGGGGACAAAAAGAAAACGGGGTGGTCTGACATATACTGCAGACAATACCCTGTGGCTTAGTGAAGTAGGGCAAAAAGAGCTAGGAAGGAAAGAGGGGAAGAAGATAAGATGTGGGGGGGAGGGACAGTGTGGGGCGGGAAACCCTCCAGGGAGCTGATGACTGGCGTGGTGTATCAAACTCAGTATCTTATAATTCCAGAAAGCATGTGGGTGGTCGCATCAGTGGGAACTGATCCAAACATGGTTGCCAAATACATATAAATTGTGTGAGTATTGCTGTGAGATATCTATTAGCTAACATACCCGTCTTTTCACTTAATGGAACATAAAAACAGCATTTTCCATGCTTTAGCAATTGTCTGTTTTGTGGCCATAAAGCCCGAAAACACATTCCCTTTTTGTTATTCCTGATATGGCCTTATGTAATAAAGCTTTCCATGGGTCTTAACGTAGAATCGAGTGTAGGATCAAGTTGATCATGGCATAGACTAATCCATAGGCATTTAACTTTGGGACATATGTGTTTAATAGCACCTAGGTCTGAGCACCCCTGAAAGCATTGAGCAATGTAAGTGGGAACGTATCTTGCAATTCTCACTGGAGTGTAATACCAAAGGGACAGAAATCAAATATTCTTTCCATGAAATATGATTAACCTAATTGTAGTTACATATATAGTAAGGTTGAAAAAAAAAAGAAAATAGACGATGCTGATCAAACTCCATTTCACTTGGATCAATTCCCTGAAATAAAATATTGCCATATTATAGTTGTTATAACTCTTGATTAGAGATGAGCGAATCGAACTTGGCGAAGTGGAATTCGTTTCGAATATTAGGAAAAATTTGATTCGCACCGAATCCGAATTTTAGCAAACTTCGGATGCACGAATCGAATTTTCCCCGATCAGCCGGCAAAAAGTGTCACTGCAGAGAGCTCCGCTATTTCTGACAGTTCTCTGACAGTTCCTTCACATTTACAGCGGTTGAAACATTGTATCTATTTGTTTCCATTTAGGATACAGATGTTTTTATTCGGAAACAAATAGATACAATGTTTCAACCACTGTAAATGTGAAGGAACTGTCAGAGACTGTCAGAAATAGCGGAGCTCTCTGCAGATACACTTTTTGCTGTACTGGAATTCTTTCTTTTCTTCTTTTCCTTCTTCTTCTTTTTTTCTTCTTCTTCTTTTCCTTCTCTTCTTCTTCTTCTTCTTCTTCTTTTCTTCATTCTTTCTTCTTCTTCTTTTCTTCTTTTCATTCTTCTTCTTCTTCTTTTCATTCTTCTTCTTCTTCTTCTTCTTCTTTTCTTCTCTTTTCATTCTTTTTATTCTTCTTTTCATCATTCTTCTTTTCTTCTTCCTTCTTCTCTTCTTCTTTTCATTCTTCTTCTCATTCTTCTCTTCATTATTCTTCTTCTCATTCTTCTTATTCTTCTTTTCTCCTTCTTCTTCTTATTCTTCTTTTCATTCTTCTTTATTCTTCTTCTCTTCATTCTTCTATTCTTCTTCTTCTTCATTCTTCTTCTCTTCATTCTTCTTCTCTTCATTCTTCTTCTTCTTCTTTTCATTCTTCTTCTTCTTTTCATTCTTCTTCTTCTTCTTTTTCATTCTTTTCATTCTTCTTCTTCTTCTTTCATTCTTCTTCTTTTCATTCTTCTTCTTCTTCTTTTCATTCTTCTTCTTCTTCTTTTCTTCTTCTTCTTCCTTCTTCTTTTCATTCTTCTTCTTTTCTTCTTCTTCTTCTTTTCATTCTTCTTCTTCTTCTTCGTGCCCCGTGACTGCCCAAATGAGTGAAGTGTGCGGTGATTCTAAGATCGACGGCACTCATCTGCATGTCATACTGACTGACAGTATTATTTCTCTTCCCCAGCAGACTCCAAGGGCATTTAAATTAAAGGTACAGTGTTCTGCACTAATATAAAGGCTCTCTGAAGCCTAGAAACCCTTTTAATAAGTTAAATTCGCAGCGAATAAATTCGCATCGAATCGAATTTCTCCCGCAAATTCGGCGAATCAGCCGAATCGAATTTTTGAATAATTCGCTCATCTCTACTCTTGATATAATCATTGTCAAAAACAGTAGTTTCTGTTATAATATTTTATTATATGCTTTGTGTAGCACCCTCCTAGTATAGGATGCTAGGTAAATCTAGTTCTTGGCTCCATCTGTAAGCAGGGGTGCAGTAACCATTTGCTCTGGTCTGCCCATGGTTTCACAGACTGGGAGTTTGATTGTTTCCCCCTGCCTCTCACAGAAGCTTCCAGAACTTAGGACAGGAAATTCAAATAGCTGGCCTAAATATTTACCATGCCTGGCCAATCCCCAAGGAGAAGTACACAGAAGGTGGTCTGGGAGGTGGTAAATAGCCTGTAGCCCTGATGAGACTGTTTTTTACACCATCTTGGAAGGTTTCTGTGAACTTCAGGGGGTTGCTTGTGCCTGAAGCACATTTTGATTGAGGTGCTGTTTTGTTGGGTATCGGCAGTGGCAAGACTGTGACCTGGAATTAATCTGAAACCATGCAAGATTCCTGTACCAGGGGATCAGGTCTGAAAAGAGTGTTACGGACTGGACCATGTCCAGAGGAAGCTAAAAAGAGGCAACTGTCCTGGGGACTTGTGAGACCTTGATTGACCCTTTGTCTGTGCAGCACCCCAAAACTGCACAGATTACCTATAGCTGTGCAGCTGTGCCTGGTAACCAGATACCAAGAGATGTGCCTCATGGTCTTCAGCTTTGAGGTCTTAAACTGATCTGAGACTACCTCATGTTCTTTGGCTTTTAACTGCCATATCCACAAGGAGAAGAGCATCCTCTGTTTAATGTTACTGAGCATTCTGGAGTACCCCATGCCCCAATTCCTTTCCTGTTACAAATTATGCAAGCAATAAATAACAAAAAGACAAACCTCTAGCCTGTGAATTGGAGCCACAATGAGTGGACTTGGACTTAGGTGAGCAGGCAACCTCTATACTACAGTATTGGGGAAGAACTAGTTAACCTCAGTGGCTCCTACAAGGGTAATGCTACACTTGTTACTCCACCACCCAGCAACTTTGACATGATTACTTCCTATTCTGTAGTTCAAGGAGCTCATGAGTGTGTTCTTGACATTCTGGGTTCTAGAGTGTGGATGAGGAAAGGCTGGATATTAATGACATCACAAGACAAGCAATCAATGTGTCTATCTAATGCAGTGTTATTGGTCTAATGGTAGGGGTATGGGGCATAGAGTGTACAGGTATTAGAACCCCTGTCAGGATTTAATTCTATTTTGGGCCCTGTTAGTAGGTATTTTCCCTCACTTACTTTTTTTGGGAACACCATTTTACCAGAGAGAAAGGGATCTTCAACAGAAAAACAGACACCAATAAAAAGATGACAGAAGCTTCCCCTACTTAACAAAAAATACATTTTTAGTTTTGTCTGCGTAGGAGAGCTTGCCACTATTCCTGTCTGGCAAAAAGGTTGTCCGAATGACAAAGTGAAACAAAATAAATTCTGAGATCCAGAGTTCTAATTTCCCATGCCATCCAAAACAAAAAAAAATGTTTTGACTACAGATACACTTTAAGCCTTAAAATATTTAGTGCGAGCCTTGCTGGTGTTCCCAGAGTGCAGCTATAAAGGGAATGTATAACCATTTCAATGATCTTTTTAAAATAAATATGTATAGCAGATCCACTTTATGTAAATAACCTGAATGATATGTTTTAATGTTGTAAAAACTTTGTGTCTAGATATATTTTGTAATCATGTCTGCACACAGGGACAGCCATATTTGCTCAGAACAATTGGCAATGAGGAAGCAAAAATAAGAAACAAACAGGAAAATGCCCAGCCTAGTGACCTGACAGCAGAAAAGGGGCTTGTTCGTTTTTAGAAGAACAGGTGAAACATTTATGAAAGCGGCTTTTAACTGCAAACCCCCAAAGCAGTTGATGAAGTGGTAGGGCGAAGCTGACATGGAAGAGTACAGTGTTAAGAGAAGCAAACAGCATGGGCCAAACCTAGAAAGAAATAAAGCTTCAGGCTAATAACAGGAACAGATGTCTAAAATCTGTACAAGTCCTATGATTCTCTATAGAATTACCGGTAACTACAGGCGTACTTCGGTTTACAAATTTAATGCGTTCCCTGGGACGTTTCATATTGCAAAAAATTTGTAAACCGAAATGTGCAGTTTTCCATAGGAATGCATTGAAAACCAATTCATCCGTTCCGGAGGTCAGAAAAAAAGTTTTTAAAAAAATCTTTTATCTGTTCAAAACACTTTACAAAGTGCATTTTAACTGCCTCCCGCTCGCCATATAAGGTAATGACGAGCACAAGGCAGTTCTCTCGTTCAGGGAGCACATCATATGACGTCCTCCCATTCTAACCGCGCATGCGCGGCTTTAGGAGCATGCAGCGCGGCGATCGGTGGTGCGCTATGTCCCTCGGACACAGCATATCACCAATCAACAGAAAGAGCCAAAGATGTCGGCTCAGTCATGTGATCAGCTGTGTCCAATCACAGCTGATCGCATGTAAATAGGGAAATGCTGGTTATCTGCATTTCTCTCCTCACGGGCTGTCACGCTGGTAGCTCCAGAGGAGAGGAGAGCCGGTAATCAGCATCCTTCAGAGAGGACATGTGCATAGATCATCAGGGCACTGATGATCAAGTGTGCCCTGATGATCAGTGTAGCCCCAGCAGTGCCACCTGTCAGTGTCCATCAGTGCCAGGTGTCAGTGCTCATTAATGTCACCTGTCAGTACCACATCAATGCCACATATCAGTGCCTACCAGTGCACATCTATGCCACATACCAGTGCCCATCTGAGTTGCCAGTCAGTGCTGCCAGTCAGTGCCGCCAGTTAGTGCCGTCTATCAGTGCCATATATGAGTGCTATCTTTCAGTGCCCATCAGTGATGCCTATCAATGCCCTTCAGTGCCACCTACCAGTGCCTCCTCATCAGTGCCATCTATCAGTGTCCATTAGTGCAGCTTATCAGTGCCCATCACTGCAGCCTCATTAGTGCACATCAGTGAAGGAGAAAAATCACTTATTTACAAAATTTTATAACAAAAACTAAGAAATTTTTTTTTTTTTTTTTTCAAAATTTTCTGTGGTTTTTTGTTTGTTTAGCAAAAATAAAAACCCAGAGGTGATTAAATACCACCAAAAGAAAGCTCTATCTGTCTCAAAAAAATGATAAAAATTTCATATGGGTACAGTGTTGCATGACCACGGAATTGTCATTCAAAGTGTGACAGCGCTGAAAGCTAAAAATTGGCCTGGGCGGGAAGGGGGTATAAGTGCCCGGTAGGCAAGTGGTTTAAAGTCATAAATACTGTACAGGGACATGATTAAAAAAACTTTAGTAAATGCACTGAAAACCAATTAATCCGTTCCAGAGGTCAGAAAAAAGTCAAAGTCTTATCTGTTCAAAATTCTTTATAAAGTGCACTTTAAAGGCACGGGGCCCAGGCGCAATGCATCCTGGGAAAATTTACTTTGTATTGTGAAAAAAAATTGTAAACCAAGGCATTATTTTCAATGGATTTTCATTCGTAAACTGAAAATTACATTAACCTAGGTGTTCATAAACCAAGGTATGCCTGTGTATGTATTTCCATCTACAATCCACCACGACCTAAAACATGGAAACCGTTACTGAACTATAATGTACATAGCAACACTGTATAGAACAAGCCATCCTTCTTATGGTAAGTGAGCTGTTGAAAGACACAAGAGGCATCCCTGTAGCTAACATGTAGCCATTTTATTTAAAAGGCAGACAAGTGTGCACTGAACCTGAAGTTATATTTACCTATAAATAGTTTGAAAATGTAACTACCATTTTAACGATTTGATTTAAAATCTAAGATTATACTTTTTTACAGTTCTGTCCCCTATGGGACAAAGTACATGTAGTAATTTGCACCATGTTTCTAAGTGCTTTCTAACCCTAGTTAAGGGGTCTGACCTGCCACCCTCCTGCTGCTGCCAATACAACCACAGCTATGAAGAAGATGGTTGATTCATAGCTGCAGCTTGTCTCAGCTGACAGCCCTACCCCAATACATGCAATGGCAAGAGGAATGCAGAGGCTGACACATCCCCCTTGTCACTGCATTTCTCTTGCCGTGGGTTGTCTCAAGAAAGTAATCACAACCAAGACAAGCTGCGGCTGTGCATCAGCCATCTCCATCACAGCTGTTGTTGAATAGGCAGTGGTAGAAAGTGGGGGTGGGGAGCTCAGGCCTCATAAATTAGTGTTAGAAAGGACTTAAAACCATGAGACACCAGTAAACAGGTGTCAAACACACGGCCCTCCAGGCCATTTCATGTGGCCCTTGCACCTCTCCTGCAGGTACCACCCTGTCTCCGCCTCCACCTTGTCTCAGATGTCAGCAGCAGAGAGGAGAATAGAACTTCTATGCCAAATTCTGCACCTCTCAGTGCAGCCGCAACACACCCTCACCTCTGCCTCCCCTGATCTCAGCATTCAGCAGACTCTGGCAGCTGACTCCACTCCTCCCCTGGTCCTCCTCCAGACACTGCACTTTCTGCTTTCCAGCTCTGCCCTCAAAGTGGGTGCACAAAGATGTTAGGGAGGGTGTGGGATTCTTGACATTCTTGGGGTGCTCTGGACATCTAGTCTTACAGATATAACTGGCCCTTTGCGGCAACCATAATGCTGATACGGCCCGCCATAGGGGACAGAACTGTTAAAAAAATGATGATGGAAAATTACCACAGATCTTCTTTAATCTTCTTTAATTTATTCTGATTTCCAAAAAGTCCTTGTCATCTTTTGGATAGAGTTTGCAAAGGAGGGCTTTGGATATGTTTTAATGCCTTATGCTTTTATACTTTAATGACTGTCTGTAGTGGTCTTTTTCATGACAGCACTGTGTAGCTTTTTAAACATTACGCAGCGGCTATGCACATCTTGTATAGATAAAAGGTTTGGCATATACAGTGTGTGTGTATATGTATATGTATATGTGTGTATATATATATATATATATATATATATATATATTGCATATATATGCATTTCTGGGTAGGCGGCTTCAACTGTTGAATACCATGTCCCGGTCGGTAGGTGATTCCCCGCTGGCACCTGTAACAGCGTGAGGAAAGTGCAGCCGATAACTGGCAACTGTATTTAACCTGTGATCACTGTCATTGGACACAGCTGATCACGTGGTAAAAGGCCGCTATGATTGGCGGTTTACCGTACCTCGTGATCAGCTGTGTCCGTAGGACACAGCGATCACCGGTGGGGGCACACAGGGGGCTTGTCCTGGAATGATAGATGTCATCCCAGGATTACACAACCATGCTGTAGCCGTCCTTTGGCTATAGCGCGGTTGGGAACCAGTTAAAATACGCTTTGTTATTTGTACTATTTCATATTGTGAGGAACACGTGTAAAAATTGTAAAAATCTTTTTGAAATTCGATAAAAACTTTAAAAAAAGAGAAACAAATGAGATATCACTAATGTCACAGCAGTGTAAAACTGGCCAGCAACAAGACAATTTTAAATTGCAAGGCTAGGCCTGAATTTACTAGAAACAATGAGCGCAAATTGGCTTTTTACTACTAGAATTAAGACAATGCGTAACCTACAGCAGTGTAAAACTGTCCAGAAGCTGGACAGTTTTAAGCAGGGCCAAAATGTAGAGACAAAGCAAACAGGCAGCTGTTTTACTAGGAAAATTAAAATATTGTCAGCAGCAGGAAAGTTTTATTAGGGATAATAGGTCTAACTGGTGTGTGTCTAACTTTTATTTTATATAGTAAAAAGAGGATGCAGTGAATGTAATGTAGTTAGGCACACAATGTTCTTGCACTTAGTTTATTCATCTGTCAAATGATGCAGCAGCCTGCTGCGATCAAAAGATACCTCCAAAAACAAATGGTCAGTAACAAATGAATGCTCAGCTTTGAGCACCACAAACTTTAAAAAGGTCCTTTAACATGACAGAAAAATAAAAACACATAAAAGAAATTAAACCACAACATTACACTCCACTAAAATGGAAAGCTCCAAAATCCTTCCCCTTTCTTAGGGATGCTTCACAGCACCGAAACAAAAATGTTTACTATGGATAAAAGTGACTGCTGACATCAAATCAACGGCAAAATAGAATTAACAAAAAAGCCTCTAATAACAGAAAAAGGGTTGATTGCATAACAAACTCCTAATGCTTTCCTTACAACAGCTTCCAATTCACTTTAAAGTGATACTAAACATTCTGTTTTTTTCTTTAAAATAACAAACATGTTATACTTACCCTGATCATTCTCTTGATTGGTCCCACAACAAGCTTCTTGCAGGTGAGCTCACTTTTGAGCCGACTCTGTGTTTCCATAAAACACACAGAGCACAGCTCAGCCCCGCCCCCACTCCATCCTCGCTGTCTGTGATTGACAGCAGCAGAAGCCAATGGCTCCCACTGCTGTATCAGACCCAGTAAGGAGTAAGAGAGAGGAGAGAGCCTGGGCTCTCATGCACATGGCTGGATTGAGATTGGGCTCAGGTAAGAATGAGGCTAGGTTAACATCTCTGCATGTTGTGATTGCTGCATTTTCCCTGCACATTTTATAGTGCATTTTTCCATTTTTGCAGCTTTTTAAAGCATTTTGCGTTTATTTGTTTGCCAATATGAAAGTATTGACTTTAATGCCATTTTTTATGCAACTTTGATGTGACTTTGGATGGGTGTGAGTTCTATGTGACTTTGGATGGGTGAGACTTGGATATGACTTTGATGCTATTTGAATGCCAGAGAGTTTAAAGTTGTATCAAAGTTGCACTACATGAACAGAACTGTCATACTTTGCTATTAGCAAAAAAAAAAAGGTCACATCCAAGTCGCACCCATCCAGAGTTGCATCAAAGTCACATGAAAGGGGCATAAAAGTCAATACTTTCCTATTGGCAAAAAAAAGTGCATCAAAAGCACATAAAAAAAAAGCACTACATATCCCGTGTCTATTGAAGTCTACTGAACCACAAACGCACTGTGTTGCATTTAAAAAAAGTCCCTGACCCTTTCCAAAAATGCACTCCATAGGAAACCATGTTAAATGGACTGAAGTGCATGACGTTAACAAACCTTCTGCCTTAACAACCACTTTAGCTATGGCTGCTCTGTGCCCCACCCCTTTGTATAGTATTGGCCTTTTTAAGCCTCTTGGTCATAGTTCAAAGACCATGAAGGAAGGAGCACAGTGGGCACCTTCGGACAGAAGTATTGTTAATCTGGGGGGAGGGGAGTGTTAGATGAACTAGTAGATATGCTAACAAATTGAAGACAAACTCCAGCTAATGCTTTGGAAACAGTTAAAGCATAAATACATAAATAAATAAAAGCTGATCATTGTAAACACCTCTATGAGTGTTAATTGGTTTGTCCCCTCTTTGTATCTCATACATTCTGCTGGACAGCTTGTTCTTTTGAAACACAACAGACTTACTAGTTGGCTTGCCAGGTGAAAATAGAAAGCTTTAAAAAGAAAATGAATGAATCCATCACATCTAAGAATTGGTAAGCTGTATTGTAATAAATGATTTCATTTAGGTTTATTACTAATTTAAGTGTAAGAGTCACCCTAAGGGTTAGATTAAAGCAGAGTTCCAGCTGAAAAAAATGAAACAAAAGTCAGCAGCTACAAAAGCTGTAGCTGCTGACTTTTAAAATACAGACACCGCTGGTTTCACCAGACGTCTTCTCTCCCTGGCGCCAGCATCTTCAGTGTGGGTACCCGGCTGTGACAGCTTGCGGCTTCACAACTGGGTGCCCACTGCGCATGCGCAAGAAGCGCTGTGCTTTGTGAATGCTTCTGTAGTCTTCTGGGACCTGTCATGTGTCCCCCACAAGACTACGGGGAGGGGGGGGGGGGAGGACAACTTCCGCTTCCGATCGCCGAGGA